CAAAATGCTAAATATAGTAACATAAGAGATACACATGAAAAGTCCTGAAGTTCCACCAGCCAATAACAACCAGTAACCTTTATAAATCAGTGTTACCCCAAAATGAATGGTATGGGTATTGAGACAGAATGCAATTTTGATAACCAACTGTTATTAGGAGTATTTCTACTGTTGAACCACAAATAACTTTCCTCTTTTTTTAACATTAAAAATCTTTAAATGTCTTCTGCCATGAGTATACTCTCAGTAGCTACTTCTTTTGGCCTAGCAAAGATCAACCTGACCTTGGCCAATCAGCTTGTACTTTGAAGAGTGTACTTGGTGAAACACATGAGTGGAGAAGTATTCATGCTTGGCAGAATTTGCTGTCTCTTCTGCTCAGTATTTTAGCATGATTAATCCCCATCCACCTCTCTTCACTGCTGCTGCAGTGGCCAAAGTCGATGCTGTCAGTCTCATATTTCTTCTCTGTAGCAGACACTTTTCAAATGTTGTTGGGTTCTGGCTGGGTATGACCTTTTATGGGGCACTGCTGCCTCCTATCCGGCTTTTATGGGCTTGCTGGTTTGTGCACATGGGCAGACATTCTGACCTCATGACCTCCAAAACAGATTCTGTGAGGACAACTGTATCTAACCTTTCCAACATTTTGGACACCCCAACTCTTCCCAAGGGCATGGGTGCAAAGAATGCTTCCTTGTGGTTTTGGCTTACATTCTTCTCACATCAAAAGAATGAAGTCTGGGAGACTGTGAAACCAGGCCAGAAATGCTAACAGAGCAGTGATTTTCCGGCAGCCCTTCAAGTTCCCTGGCATGAATTTGAGCAGAGAGCAGTTTTTTCACATCTTTCAGTTTTTATTATGGTTTAAGTGAGCAGTTCCAAATATGTGAATTACACTTTCTGGTATAATCCAACCTGTAGAAAGGGCAACAACTGACCAAAACTCTGGAAAACCCTGAAGACATTTTTGAAAATTCCTTCTTAGATTTAGTTCTTTCTCTTTTTTGAGTCCTGAATCTTGTTGTTAATGAAACCAGTTACATGAAAAATTGAATCCATTCTATGGTATTTTAGTAACTTTAGTTTGTCTTTTCTATGCTGATTCAGTTTACCAACAATGGGTTTATTTTTGGTAAGCATTCTAGTATTGGTTTGGCAAAAAAAAAAAAATTCATTCAGGTTTTTCTGTAACGAAAACCCTAACAAACTTTTTGGCCAACCAATATAAGATACTTAAAGATGCAGTACAACTTTTAAAAATTATTGCCAAATAGTCTACAAAAACCTCCCCCCTTAAAAAAAGAGTTTTGAAGTTTAAATGCCAGATTAAAGTAACTATAAAGTCTATTTTTTCCATCTACTTTCTCAACCTCCATCTACTGCTAGTAAAGATATGGGTGCTAGATGAATTGGGTCACCAAGGCCTGTTCCTTTCTTTCGTCCCTCTTGACATTTACTATACTTTTTTCTTTTCCTCACTAAACTTTCTCTTACCCTTCTCAAAACTGAGTACTTTACTCATCTTAGTCTCGTATCTATTTTCATTCTCTCTTTTGATGGCTGTTAAAGTTATGTACACTCAATTCTTTCTCCACCACCTTATTCAAAGGAGTGATTTTCCATCCACTTACCTTTTCTTCCACTTTGAGAGCTATACTCATGTTTCTTCCTTACTGGCATCATTCAAAAGACTATATTGCCCTGGCACAGCATATCCAAAGTCACATCAGCAGCTCTGCAATGACTTGGGTACAGGATCACAGAGAGGCACATCACATGACATTTGACTCAGCTAAATTAACATCTCAGGATTGGGAGAAACACACCATCAAGACATTAAAAGATAAGATTCTATTCTTCCATATAGCATAAGAGATTCCAAAGCCAGTGAAACTATACCCAATGCTTCTCATCACTATCACCAGTTGTTCATGCAGCTCATAAAAAGGAGAGTGAATAATAAATCTTAACACTGAGCAAAGAAGACAAAATAGCACATTGTATCACACTCTAAAGTGAGACATAACATACTTCAAGTCCTGGTATACAAGTCAGCAGGATGCTAGTTATAGGTAATATTATAATATCTCACTTTGCATTACATTTGATGCAGTGATCTTCCTAGGCTATTACATGTACCTGGAGAGTGAGGGGAGGATTCTTAAAACTGGCAAAACATTAACTACACTCAAGTGAGAGCACACATGATGTAATAGTTCAATGTTTTTGTAACTAAACTGAACACTCTGGGAGCAGAGTGGATAGCTACATATACACAAGTGAATCTTCTTATTGTTACTATCTTTTGATAATAGACTCTAAGTAGCATTATAGAATGTAATATTCAGTCTTTCACTTTATATGAATATCTTGTAAAGCATGGGGTGATGAAACTATCTAGTAATATTAATATATTAATATTTACATTTAAATAAAGAAGAGCACAATACTGTCAAACCACAAAAGTTAATCATAGTCATCCTTAAGCATATCTAGGACTTATTTTATTTTTGCTGATAGTATGTGATTGGAAATTTCAGAATAGCAAATGTAGACTACATATTTTAAATGCACAAGTGAAATAAAATGCAATTGTGCAAAACAGAAGGTTATCGCCTTATAGAATTAACCTGTAACAACCGAGCTATGAACCATCATGTTTGATGGGACTTTGGTCTATGAAGTTTCAGGTTTTGTTCTTATTATTACAATGCACCGTGAATATCATTTTGAAGCCTGCTAATTATTTTCTCAGAAGGAGAGTATTACAGTGTACTATGAAGTGACATTTCAAACATTTCTTTCTGGAATTACAATATTAAATAATGTTATCATTAGCACATAATTATAACATACAGAATTATATACAAAATGTTATAACTTGTCATGTTTTTCATACATATGTGAAGTCTGTACAATCTACACCCAAAAGTCAGTTAAAAGAGACTTCTGGTGCCATCATTACCTTTCTGCCTTAATTTTTTTTTTTCATTTTTGGATCGAATTTTGTACAATGGAAGCATTCCAGATATAAGTCAACAATAGAGAATCAAGAAAAGGCAACAGGGTAATTGTTGCGTCTTGCCTGATGAACTCTTAAATCAACAAAGAAGCCTGCCTCTATAGCTAATCAGCCTGTGAGGGTCTCCCGCCTGACAGGAGAACAGAGAAGTGAATCTACGCTGTGGGGTTTCTCTCTTGTTTTCCAATTCAAACATTTGCCACACGAGTAAAATAAACGAGTGAGTAAAATAAACCTAGGGAGAAAATGCCAACTAATACTTGAGGCTACCTATATTTTAGACGTGATAGTAAGAATTAAACTAGTCACTCCGACGTTCTGTATCAGTAACTATGCCATCACTTCCGGACGCTGCCACCAAGTCAAAAGCAGAGGGAACGTGGTCCTCACAATTTTCCGGAATATAGGCGCCCAGAGCAAGTTGAGCCTCTGGCAGATAGCATAAAAAGGTGATCTGACAGAGTTTGAAGCAGTTAACGTGTTACCTTGATTCTTTCATTTCCAAGTATTCATTTGGGGGGAAACCCTGGGGCTTGGGGTATGGACAGAGAAGGGGGAAAACCTAACACAAAGTTTTACCTTCCGAAAGGGTTTAGTCTTGGCCTCTGCCTGCAGCCAGGAGTGGCGCTTTCTTCTCCATTCGTGGTCTAGAGGGTTAGAGGGTCTCCCAGCAGCACCCCCCCCCCCCCGCCCCCAGGTGGCAGGCAGACACTCCTGCCCTTTTAGAGTTCTGGCACCGCGGGCTGGAGACCTGATTCATCTTTCCTTTCGAGTCCCCACCTGGGCCCACTAGTGCGCGACAGAGACGGGCCATCAGGGGAGCTGTGGTCCCAAAGGTGGGTGCAAACAAATTCCAAGTAAGGAAGTGGCCTCTGGGGGCTCGGCTCGCCAATCGGACCGAAAGAGGTCTGCAGGATGTTATTTTTTGTTTGTTTTTCCTTAAGTCTAACAGGAATTAGGGCCGGGAGTGTAGCTCCAGTTTGATTTTTCCGCGCCTTTCAATGACAAGACACATTGAAAAATGCCCTTAAGCGCAGAACACTGAGGGTGGCGGAGGTTGGGGGTTCCCAGCAGAGGTTTGCAAATCGGAAATTCGTAAGGGAGGAGGCCAAGGGACAGAGGTTGCTGGTGGGGGAGGGGGCGGTCTCTTTGTTTCTCGTTGCTCTTATCCTAGGACTTCGGGTAGTCTAAATCTTTACGACCTACGCGCTTGAACGCGAGCGAGTGGGGTTCTAGGAAATACCAGAAACTTGATCGCAAAGCGCTGAGCCTTCAAAGGACAGTCAGGCAGGATTTCCTGGGCCTCGGCGAGAGGCTACCTGGGGTAGGAGTGGTCGACCCCGCTCCGCGCGCTGCGCGGGTGGGAAGGGAAGGCGTTCTTGACCCCTTCCGGGAGATCAGTTATTAACTCGGTTGAGTTGATCAAATGACGTTCTTCCTAAAAGGGGTCGTCTCCTGAGCCCCTTTCTCAGTTGGAATTTAGCAAGTAGAGGAGCGAAGCAAATTCTCCTTTCAACCTAAAGTCGAGAAGAATTAATGAGTTTCCTTAACAGCACGGATTGGGAGGCGTACAGAATTCTAAAGATACAGGCGCCGAAAGCACAGCCTCCCATTCACCTCCACGGAGTCGAATCAGACCACCACCTTTAAGATTTTCCCTAAAATCTTATTTTCCGAACTGACTAGCCATTCACTGGGGTTTGCAGAATTTTCTCCAGCCCCGAAACCACCTTCTCTCTCACGATCTACGGGTAGATGCCACCAATGACTGCCTCTCCACTTAAAAACAGCCTCCACCCACGCTCCTCTCAAGCTACATTAAACGGCCCTGACACGCTTTAGCCACCAGTTTCATTCATAGAAAGTAGCAATAACTCTTGACATCGCCTCCGCAGCCCACCCGAGGACTCCAGCCCAGGGCACCTTATTCCGAGGCTGATTTTTTGAGCGCTGAATTCTGAGACGTGAGAGAAGGTTATTTGAGGCTTCCTGGGTAGATTTCCTGGCCTCCAACTCCCTCCCGCGCTGAGCGGGTAATTTTCTGCTGCTCCTCCTCCTCCTCTTGACCTCCAACAAGGTACCTTCGCCTCCCCTCCTCCTCTCCTTCCCAGTAAACCTCCAGTACTGATTTGGAAATCAATCCTTTGGCGCTAAATTCAGAGCTGCCGGTTCGACAGGATTGCAGTGGGGAAAATGGTGTCACTTCTTTCAGAAAGAATGTCATTTGATCAGCTACACTTAATTCACTCCGGGTTTCCCGAGAGCTTGGGTGGGTCCGTGGGTGCTTTGCTGGATTCCGTGCATTTGTGGTAGCTTTCAGCTGAACCGCCCAGGACCTTGGGGGATAAAGGTTTGTCGCCCTCAGGACTCCAATTACCCCCCCGTGAGAATCCGGTACATTTAACAAAGGTTTTGCCAGAGGTAGGGTTCAACGCATCCTGGGGTCAGAACCTCTTAGCACTTTGCACTCATTGGCTCCAACCTGGGCTCCACGCAGAACTCTGGTCCTGTTAAAAACTGCCTGTTCCTAGTCATATAGGGTTTCAAAAAGAACAAAACAAAAAACTTTTTAAAGGAAAGGGTTTCACCTGACACGGCCAGCGCTCTTGTGAAATTATAGAAAATACTTCCAAAAGCATAATTTTAAAGGGAGGGTGCAAATTTCTGTCCTCGCTTGGTCGAAGTCCTACTGGTAATGAGATGCGGAACCTCGCATTCTCAAGACTGATCTGAGGTTTGTGGCTTCGCCGCTGCCGGGAGCGTGGAATTCTATCTTGGCTGGGAACCGAGCAGCAGACCGCCCAGGAACGCGGCCTCCCGGGCTGCCGTCTGCCAGTAAAGAAGAGCAGGACTGCTGGTGACAGACACAACTACCTAGACTCAGGCTAAGAGGCTCTGCGTGCGGAAGAAAATTCGTGCTAATTCACCCAGATTGTTTTAACTGGTTAATAAAGCAACTGACACTCAACAAAACCACAATCACAGCAGGAGTCTTTGGCAATATAGTAAGAATCAAGACTAAAGTTTTGTTGTTGTTGTTAACAACTACCTTTATTATTATCATTGCTTAGCATTATGGGGGGTGGGGAGAGGAAAAGGAGAAGGGAAAAAAGAGACAATCGTTTCCTACCCAATGGTACAAACAGAACATCGCTTTCATTTTTCTCTGCAATTAGAGTGCAGATTCTCTTGATTCGTCATTAAGTCACCATCAGAAACTGGAAGAGAGGCAAAGAGGCTCTATAGAATATCCACACCCGGTTCTGGTTGGAAAATAGTTAATCATGACTCCCTTTATACACATATAATTTACCTGACACTTGGATGTGATTTAAGATACTGATGGTTTGTATAGCTTTATTCTACATGATTACACTACACAGGAAAAGTAAAAACAAAAAGTGTGAGTGGGATAAATATATATGTATTCCATTCCACATTTTCTGAGGTGAATAAAATATGTCCATGTTTCATTTTGACCCCCCAAATTACATATTTGTGGATATCAGAAAATATAAGTCCTTCAGTTAATTTTTTTCTGTCAGAACACCTTATTTGTGGAAAATTGCCATTCCAGTTGTTATTCACAAACTTGAGCTTGGTGTGAGCTAAACACAGCATCACCTCCCTGGGAATAAGTTCCCAAAACAAATCCATAATTCAGGGAAAGCTTATCAAAGTTGCCTTTCCTTCCCAATCTTGGTTAGTTGGTGAGGAAAAGCTTTCTCCCTTACTGTACATAATTTATCCCCCCCCCAAATAAAACTTTTTAATTTCACAACAAAATTAAAAATCCACTTATATCTGCCAGAAGTTGTTGGGAAATAAATCCTAAATATGTAATGCTACTTGTCAATTGCAGTTAAAACCTATTTAAATATTTGGAATGTATCTTGAGAACATGATATTTGTATAGGAATCTGTATTTGGCATTTTTGATGCAGAATGCTTAAATTTTAATCAAAGCAGAGAAAGCAACCACACACAAAACGCAGTCTTAGAGCCCACTAGGAATTTTAGGTGGAAAAGCACTATAAGGCCATGTGGGCAGATGCCACAGGCTTACATAGAACTTAATAAGTCTCAGCATCCTTTTTATATTCAAGGACACTAAAGTATATTTGGGGTGGCCTGGAGGTAATGGTAACTAAGTAAGTACTCATATTCTTCTTTTCTTTCTCATCAGTAGAGGAGCTTAGAGAGGGGATTCTCAAAACTGCTGTTTTTAAGGGTAGATTTTTTTTTGACCTAACAGAATATACAAAGGTCAAAATTGAGTCCATTTTTGACAAGAGGGTCTAATCCCCGCTTTGAACACAAGAGGTCGCTCCTGTGATCAAATACTGGGGGAAAATATTGCTAATCACAGTTTGATGTATTCTATAAAAACATTACAATTTTTTACAGACATATTTGCTGCATTAAACGTGTACAGAAATCACTTAAAGAAACAAGGGAATATCTGTGACCAAATTTGAATTTCAAGGTGAAAGGAAACAATAATGCCCGCTATCCTGTGATTTTAATGCATAATGTATTAGCAACACACAGACCTCCAGAGTACATCCATCGTGGAGCAATATAACTACTGAGTTTTCCTCAGATTTCTCCCTTTGACAGAGGGTATCTTCTGGATGATTTTTTTTACCTCTAACAACTTAGGAACTTAAGAAAATACTACTTATTTATAGTAACAGTATGCGCTGAAGAAAGAGAAACACCCGTTGTCTTCATTATGATGAAATTGCCAGTTACGCTTTTCCTCCAAGCCACATACTAGGTTTTCTTTCTAGACTTGCTATCATCATTGGCACTAATTCTTTAGTCTGTGTGTGTGTGTGTGTGTGTGTGTGTGTGTGCGCACGCGTGCTATCATATCAGCACTAATTCTTTAGTCTGTGTGTCTGTGTCTGGTTGAAGAAGAATGGATAGTGAGGGTGCTTTCTGGGTCTCAAATATAAGTCATCAGGCTTCTGGCAGCTTCTGTTGTTTAATTCCATGTTATAAAGGTGGCATGATGGAATATGATTGGTTAAAATTCTCTATTTACTTTCTGGGGATATAGTACCTTTAAAAAAACAAAACAAAACAAAACTAGTGTCAACTTGGTTATCTGTACAGGAAACATGCCCATATACTGGGATGATTTGCTTCATGTTGTCATTATCAGCATCAGTTTTACCAAAGCAGCCTGACAAAAGACTCCACGTATATAATACCGGAGACACTAGAAAACTATGAGCAAAAACCAAAAACAGAAACATCCTGCCCCTCCCCCAACCTGGTAAATGTATCAACATCTAACTTTCGATTTCACACACCCACACTGATATAACTTATAATAAAAATAGAAGGGATGTGATCCAGTTAGAAATTTTCCTTGAGAGAAAACAAAAGCATGTTCTTGGTAAAGCCCCAGCCGTATCACCAGTAAATTCAGCATCTTTGCTTCTCTCTGCGCTCTGGAGAAGCTTACCGTTGTAAACCGAGCCACTTAGGCCGGCGGAGAGCTCACAGCTCTTATCGAGGGCTAGATCTGATGAATGATACAAAGAAAGGAGTTTCCTAACACACCAGGTTTTCTCAAGGCAATGAGACACCGAAATTAAACCTACTACTGCGTGCATTTGCGGACCTTTTCAGATAAAACTGGCAGTCGCACTAGACAAGGAATCAATGTTTAGAAGCTTTTGGAAATGCGGACGGGGAGGGGGGATTCTTCGTGGCCTCCCTATGACTTTGTTTTGGGGAGACAGTAAGATATGATGGGAACATGTAAGAAATTATTCAAGAGGGTTACCGGCGAGTTGAAGTCAACATTCTTCTCTCTCCAGGTTGTTTCTCGAGAGAAAATGATAAAGTAAACACAGCCGGTGAAATGAAATAGGTATTTCGCTGTTCTTCTGTGTTAGACCCCTCCCTACTCACGCCCTTAGATTGACGCATTTTTAAAATCTCTATAGAGACGTGGAGACTTGTCCTTACAATGATCTACACACCACCAGCTAACTGCACAAGGTTGCTTAAAAACAAAAGGCAGGAGACCGGCAGAGAGAGGAATCGGATAGGCGTCATAGCTTTGCAAACTTTAAACTACTGGAAGACCACTTTGTACTTAGGCTTCGGGTTAGTTCTAAAGTTAAACTGCAAAGCAGACCCCACGGGTCCGAAAGAGAGAGAAGTCCGCGGAGTCAACTTGGTTATACCCGTGATCTTCCGACCTGATTCTGCGCTTAGGTAAGAAGCGCCCTTTTACCCCCACCCCGCGTTTCTGGAGATCTGAGGTGAGGGGTAACGGGGTATTGGGGTAGCAGCAGCGAACAACTCCTCTGGGTCCATTCATCCCAGGACCGGAGTCTTCCCCTAGGCAGCTCCCAGCGCGCCACGCGCAGACAATTCGGGAACTCACCCGCCCTGGCAACCAAGCCCGGCCGGGCCCGGAGCTGTCTGCCAAAGCGCGAGACCAAACCGAGCCAAACGGCCTGTTCCAAGTCGCCCTTTTCCTAAAGTCCGGAAGGGTCCTCGTCATCTAGAACACCTACCCACCAGCCACTCGCCACCGGAGGCGGAAAAGCGAGCCCCGCGCGCAACGCGGCCAGCCGGACTGCGGGGACCCCAGGAGCGCAGGGCGGAGGAGCAGCGCGACAGGAGGCGAGGGCGCTGGCGGCGCGGCCGGCTAGGAGCAAGGGGGAAGGCGGGGCAGAAGGAGAAGGGAGGTCAGAAGCCAGGGCGGCCGGGCCGCCGGAGCACCGGGGGAGAGCGGTCTGAGCCCCGAGCGAGTCGCCTCGGGAGCCCTAACCCTCTCCCGCGGGCTTGCCGAACGGTCAGTGGCGCACCGCGGCTGCGAGGCTGAAATATGATAATCAGAACAGCTGCGCCGCGCGCCCCGCAGCCAATGGGCGCGGCGCTCGCCTGACGTCCCCGCGCGCTGCGTCAGACCAATGGCGATGGAGCTGAGTTGGAGCAGAGAAGTTTGAGTAAGAGATAAGGAAGAGAGGTGCCCGAGCCGCGCCGAGTCCGCGCCGCCGCAGCGCCTCCGCTCCGCCAACTCCGCCGGCTTAAATTGGACTCCCCGATCAGCGAGGGCGCGGCGCAGCCGGGCAGCGGGCTCTCTCAGCCTTGGCAACCCCAGGGGCCACTGTTTCCCACTTAGCCACAGCTCCAGCATCCTCTCTGTGGGCTGTTCACCAACTGTACAACCACCATTTCACTGTGGACATTACTCCCTGTTACAGATATGGGAGACATGGGAGATCCACCAAAAAGTAAGAAGCGATTTTACCTTGTGGGGCTCGGTGCTGTTCTTGTGCGGGGGTCTCTCTCTCAGGCACGGGTGCCAAGGGCTCTTCGGAGTTGGAGTCATTACTTGGAGAGAGAGAGAGAGAAGGTGGCAGTTTCTCGTTGCCGCCACGCCTGCATGCTTGCTGTCGGTTCCGATCTTCGGGGAAACTGATCGTACCTTGTGTTTGAATTCGCCTGCGCGTCCTCCAAAACCTTAGCCTTCCGGTGCTAAGCGGCGGTTTTCTCCTTGGGACTCCGGAGCTCTCCGAGAAGGTTATTCTGTTGCAAAGATATGCCTGCACGTACAATACCCGGAGATGTGAATTAGCATTAGACTTGCAAAAGAGAACGACTGACAACTGTATTGATGTCTGCTTTTGCTAACAATATCCAGTCCTATGTGCTATTTAAGAGCGTGCTTCGTGGAAAATACAGACATCCCTGCGTTCACTTAACGCTTCTAGTCAAAACCTTTTCTTTGACTTGACTTATCCATAATCTTTCCCAATGATTATGGCAAAGAGGGAGGAGGGAGGGAAAAGAAATACAAAATGAACGGGTTTGATTGCGTGCTAGGCTTGCAAATGCAGACTATTCAAATCTGCATTTTATATATATTCCACCTCCTTTTAAAAATGAGTCAAGGTTTTGATGGCACACTTCAATTACCATCCCAAAGTGCAATACTCTTAAAAAAAGGAAAAAAAAAAAACCTCCCAGAGTACGCCCTATAAGAGAACGACACTAAAAGTGTGTTTATCTCTGTAGGAAGTAAACGGTTAGTCAATCATGTATTTATTTTCATTTCAGAAAAACGTCTGATTTCCCTGTGTGTTGGTTGCGGCAATCAAATTCACGATCAGTATATTCTGAGGGTTTCTCCGGATTTGGAATGGCATGCGGCATGTTTGAAATGTGCGGAGTGTAATCAGTATTTGGACGAGAGCTGTACGTGCTTTGTTAGAGATGGGAAAACCTACTGTAAAAGAGATTATATCAGGTACGCCATTTATACCGTTTACTTAATTTTGTGAGAGTCCCCTTCCTCTCCCCATTCGTTATTTATTATTTTGTGTGGCTTTGTCTTTTGCCAGAGTATGCCTTAATGGGTACTAGCGTGCAGAAGTTACCCCTGTAAATGTAATACGTAAATTAAAAACTATGCTGTTCATTTTACTTTTCAGGGGAAAAAAAATGAGACTCAATAGTGGTTTTCAAAAATAATGTGGTTTGAAGCTTTGTTTAATTGCTTTTGGAATTTGTGATGCTGAAATTATTTTCCTGTTACCCTCCCCCTTCCAAAACAAACTTAAAAATACAATACAGTATGGATAAGTTGGGGTTTCTAAACTTTTTTTAAAAGGTTGGATTTTATTCTATCATACAGTCGTTTTCCTTTTTATTTTAATTCAATATTTTATTAGAAACTTCCAGATTCTTTGAAGGTGTCAATGCAATAGGTAAAAGTTTGACCTAGGCATGTTTAAAAGTATACTTTGCAAGAGCAAATAGAGGTGTTGCCCTTTACTTTTTGGGTAAGGGATCCTGCTTAGAAAATTTAAAAAGCAACCCAAATATTCTCTGTAAAAACGACCCGGAGATTTAATCTTTTTAAATATTAACCCTTTGGTGACATATGACTGTCTTCTTTCTTATCTTATCTGAGCTGATGAACTAGACAGAGCAGATCAAATTGCCCATCATCTGTCTATGAACAATCGGTATATTTAGATAATTGAACAGCTTCCTTTCTCACATTAAAATCTGGTAACTGATAAAATGAGCGTATTGCCCTCACTGACAAGAATAAAACCACATAAGGAACGTCCTGAGTTTTTTTCTATCAATTTATTCTGCATCTAAACTTCATGCGTTGCCAATCTCAAATTTTCAGACTTGTGTATACATACGTCAGAAAATTCATTTTCTGCCTAAGGAAGGAAGTAGAATTTCCAAAGAAAATATTGTTTTAAGAACAAAACAGAAGAGATAACACCTTCATTATTACGTTGAATAATACAAAATATTATCTTTAAAAATAAATTGTCCAGTGGCTATTAACAAGTAATTAGCTTTGGAAGTTACAGAGTTTATGGAGCTGAGAACTTAGTTTAGTTAGGATTTAAGTATGCAGTTAACGATTTTTTTCCTGCTCACTCAGTGTTCAGTATTTTTTCTTATTTTCAAACCATGAAGTGGAGAGCAGAATTTTATTAGATAAAGGTTAACAGTGCAGGGGGGAAAAGTTTATTAATACTTTGGTGGTGGGAGAGGAGAATGAGAGCAAAGAGGGGAAGTGGGGCGCTGGAGGAAGGGGGAGGGATTTTCCCAATTGTTTGGTCACAGGCAAGGTAAAGTCCTCATCCTATGAAATGGCAGATCTCACATGGAGTAGGCGGAGGGAAGGAAAACTTTTGAATCTACCTTCTAACCTCTGACAAATGAGCCATTTTCAATTGTTTACTTGATTGGTGTATGAGCTCCAGATTCTGGAGAGGGGGCCACTGCAGAAGTATCTTTACTCCTGTGGGAGTCGTGTTTTGCTCAGCTGTATTTAGACTTGCATGTGCCTATTTCTGCAGACATGCTTGTGGAAGGAACCAATTGCTTTTACCTTTTCTTCTCCACTCTTTCAACTGTGTGTGTGTGCGCGCGCGCGCTCGCCCGCGTGCAATTGTGTGTGTCCCTTTGAAATCCTGTAGTTGTAAGAGGAGAACAGAGAGACTGTTGAGATTTCCCAAAACCTTTCTCTCCTTGGGGGAGCGAGGTTCACCCCACTGCCCCTCTTCGTGTGGGTCTTTGCCTCTCCTCCATTCTCTCTGTAGTAATGCCCCCGCTCTGGTTATTAGTGATACGTGGAGAGGGGGCCAGGGTAGGGCGTCTAGATGGAACCTACAAGGATTGTCTGTTGGCAAGGAAAGGTGAGCGGCAAGGAAGACCTTAGAAGTGGGTCTTTTCATTTTTCTGGCAGGTCAGGGTTCTCAGACAGACAGAAATAGAGGTAGATGTTTCAGCGACTGGATAAAGATGGAAGGAACCCAAGCAGATTTTAAAAAATAAGAAGAAGAATGGAGAGGAAACTTTCTGTTAACATTGCTGCCCGAGGGAAAAAATCTTTAGCTGGGTAAACAGAAATGGGCTCCTGATGCAGAAAGGACTCTGGAAACCCTCCGAGGTTTCATTTTGTTCTAATACCCATGCATTTGTGTATGTTTTGTGGGGGTGACAATCTCATTGCCCAATCTAATTTTCTTTTGAAAGGAGGATGCAGGTTGCAGTTTTAGAGACGTTTCTAGCAGCAGAAATTGGGGGATAGGAAGGTGAAAATGTGGGACCAGTGGCTCCCGGAATTCACCTCGGGATTCCTTCCTGCCAAGAGCAGCAAGAGGAACCCGGGTACTGGTTGCTGGAGCAGCCGTCCAGGCTTCCAATACATCAAACATTTCTCTCTAGTTTGGACTGGTGCAGACCGAGACACAGAGGTTCATAGGCAAGGGAAACGGAACGGGAAAAGAGAGAAATCTAGTCGTTTCCATCCTCCCATTCCCAGCTTGCCTGCTGATACTGATTTCAGTGTCTCAGGGCGTTGTGGCCGAAGTCGCCAGCGACCCTAGACCCGGGGCAGCGCTCGCCTGAAGTGACTCCCTCTCTCTCTGCTTCCTTCCCTTCCTGGCCCGCCCCCCATCCCACCCCCGCGCAGGTTGTACGGGATCAAATGCGCCAAGTGCAGCATCGGCTTCAGCAAAAACGACTTCGTGATGCGCGCGCGCTCCAAGGTGTACCACATCGAGTGTTTCCGCTGCGTGGCCTGCAGCCGCCAGCTTATCCCCGGGGATGAGTTCGCGCTGCGGGAGGACGGGCTCTTCTGCCGCGCGGACCACGACGTGGTGGAGAGGGCCAGCCTGGGCACCGGCGACCCGCTCAGCCCCTTGCACCCGGCGCGGCCGCTGCAAATGGCAGGTACTCCTGGGAGTGGAGGGAGGCCCTCTTTGGGGAGGCAGCCGCCAGGCGAGCCCAGCGCCGTGCCGCGCCGCGATCTTGGGACCCACGCTGCTGTCGCTGCAGCTGCCAGTTACACGGAGGGTTCTGGGTGCGGTTTGCACAGTACTTCCCTCTTTTTGCGGCCAGGTTCAATGCCCTCAATGTCTCCCTTGACTCCCCTGGTACACCTACATTACATGTCTGTCTATGTGTGGGTGCCCGCGAATGTACACCGCTTGTGCACGCATGTATACACACGCCCAGAGAGTACTTCAGTTCACCTTGGCCTCCAAACCGTGGCTTTCTGACAACCGACTTCAGCTCCCCTCCAGGTATTCTCTGCCGCTGCCTAATTAAAGGGGTGGAGCTCTGGGCCCCTGGAGCTTCCTCCTTTAACCCAATGAAGGAAGCTTAAGTCAAGTTAGACCCTCAATTCCTTTTTTCCTTGCCAACTGCCCTACACTCCAAAATATTTTTAAAGTGTATCTTCATCCCTTTGTGAGACAGGGGACCTAAAAAGATAGTTTTAATAATTGCAAGCCTTCGCACAGAGCCGTCATTTAAAACTGTCAACAAGCTAATCTGCAGTAATTGCCTTTTAAAGGGAGCCTGCCTCTTTAAACCGTTCATTCTACTTGATTTGGTGAGAATTTCATCTTCAGGCCTGTTGCTGTGACACCGAGTTGACCTCATAGGTGTTGACCTGACCCTGGGGGTCCTGGAAAAATGCAAGATTTGTAACATAAAGATTTGAGGGCCCTTGCCCCAGGAAGGAGAGTAGAAATAGAACAGGGTTGGCCCGGAGTGGGGGCCACAGGTAAGAAGGCCGACAATGTTTCCAAACCTGCCTTCCGGTCTTGAATGGAACTGCCCTGGTGTATTTTTTTAAAAGTATCAATCCTCCCGGACCCCTGACGGTGAAAAATCTACAGCTCTTCCCCCTCTGCTTTCTTAAGAATTCTGTCCGGGGGTGGGGGGTGGGAGGGGTTGTGACTTAGCTTGCAGCGGAGCAAAGCCAGTGGTGGCAACTTCTGTTAGCGCAACCTGGGCTCTGCTGTGGGACACACAGTATTGGGAAGGGGCCAGGAGCATGCCCCAGCTGTCTTTTCTCTAGAGGCTCGGCAGCTCTAAAGAGTTTCAGTTTTCCTTTTCTGGGGAGCAGATCGCATCGGGAACCATCCAGGTAGATATAGTAGATCCAGGTAGAGTAGGAAGGATCAGAAGCTAGAGAGACGGCCGAAGTACTGAATTTCTTTATCCTCTTGACATAACTGTCCTCTGGGGACTGTAGTTCAACGCTCTCGGGCAGAATTCTCTGCCTTAGTTGCAGACATCCCACGGGGGTAGTGTCTCTCGCTGTCACTGGGTGTCCTGACTTTCCTTCCCTTGTAGGGCCTGTGAGTAGGGGGAGGAGAACCCGGGCCCCCATCTGGGTACTAGGAAAGGGGAGAACGGGGAGAAACTAGGAAGAACGATGCCACCCTTGCTGTGAACCGGGGGACAGAACCTGAGAGATGCGCCCCTTGGCTAACTGCCGTGTTGACTCGAGCAGAGGCGGAGGTCGCTTTCTCGGGTCCAGACTACTCAGCACTGACCTCTTAAGATGAGAGCGCGAGATTTCATTCTCCCTTTTGCGTCCCGCACCCCCACCTCTGCCGCCTCTGCTTTTGTCTGTCGAGGTCGCAAAGCGCTGGCCATTGTCCCGTTTTCCCCGGATCGGCGCGGGCAGCCCGGCCCGGCCCGTGCTCACCGCACCCCTTGCCCCGCAGCCGAGCCCATCTCCGCCCGGCAGCCGGCCCTGCGGCCCCACGTCCACAAGCAGCCGGAGAAGACCACCCGCGTGCGGACTGTGCTGAACGAGAAGCAGCTGCACACCTTGCGGACCTGCTACGCCGCCAACCCCCGGCCCGATGCGCTCATGAAGGAGCAACTGGTGGAGATGACCGGCCTCAGTCCCCGTGTGATCCGGGTCTGGTTTCAGAACAAGCGGTGCAAGGACAAGAAGCGGAGCATCATGATGAAGCAGCTCCAGCAGCAGCAGCCCAATGATAAAACTGTGAGTGGCCCTAGGCCGGGCAGGGAGCTCGAGGGGGAAGCCGAGGAGTGTGTGCTGTCTGCCCAGATGGGCCAACTCTCTCCCTCCGGCTCCTGAGCAGAAGCTGGCCCTGGCGGCCTCTCACCCCAACCCGCACCCCGGGGAGAGGCCACCGCCCCCGGCCCACCCTCCAGGGCCCCAGCTGCTTCAGGAGGCCCCTCCTGCGGGTTGGAGGCCCACCGGCCCCCAGCCTGCGTGGGTGGGCTCTCTTGCCCTTCAGTTTCTTGCCCCTGCCCCATCCCAGATCAGGAGGGGCAGTCGCCCCCACCGTGGGGGCAGAGAGGCCTTGTGCCAAACTTCTGGTTGTCAGTTCCTCAGACACCCGAAGGGAGGAAGGGAGGAATCCTTGGTTTCCTATTTAATCCAGGGTCACTCTGGGCGCCCCTTGGTGGGAGGCCTGCTGCAGAGCCCCCAGGCCAGGAAAGTCCTGGAAGGTGACCCGTGAAAATAGGACACCCTCTGCTCCAGGTTAAGCCCAGGGCTCCAGAGATGTCAGGCCCCTGGCATCCCTGGGCCAGGACAGCACCCACCAGGCAGGCCTCCTGGTTAAGTTTAAAGAGTTTTGTTTTGTTTTGTTTTTTTAGCTTTTCCTTTTTACTGCTTAGGCCCTATTTTTAAATGCCATAAAACCTGCTGTCATTAAATGTGGCAGGCCAGCCAAGCCTGAGCCAGGGCACTTTCGAAGTTGGTTAGTGCATAACAGCACAATAGCCGCCAGACTCAAATGCTTAGGAGTGGGGGTTGGCTCCCAGAGAATTGCCTGGAGAAAATCTAACCAAAAGTTTGATTCACTGAAACTGCCCAGAAAACCACCATGTCTAGAGGCTGAAGGGAGGCCCATCCTGTTCCAGCTTTCTGCTGAGATGCTGTGGCTTGGGAAAGCAGAAAGAGGAAACTGAAATGACTACTGAATATAAGGGGAAAGAAGAAAGTTGAGACAGAATTTCACTTCCTAAGGTTCAAGCATAGCTAATAGCTCAGCCCCCAGAAGCAGAAAAACAAAATGTAATAAAAAAAAAACTGAACCCTGGCTAATATCCATAGGTGCCGCAGATTAACTGAGTCAATAAAGGCAACTATATAGATAAGATAATACCAGGGTATATTTGTTTAGCCTGCACAGACAATGGAGGGAGGGAGTTTGCTCATTAACATGTTGGGTTTGTGGGGGGGGGGGGCTATTCACAGAATATCCAAGGGATGACAGGAACGCCCATGGTGGCTGCCAGTCCGGAGAGACACGATGGTGGCTTGCAGGCAAACCCAGTGGAAGTGCAGAGTTACCAGCCGCCTTGGAAAGTGCTCAGTGACTTCGCCTTGCAGAGTGACATCGATCAGCCGGCTTTTCAGCAACTGGTAAGTGTCAGCTCCCAGAGTGGGGAGGCTGAATCTCCAAAGAAAGGAGATTCTGATCAAACTGTCACACAATTAAAGATTCTGGGGGTGGGGAGGGGGCCATTGTGGCCCCAGCACTGGGGAGAGCCAGGGGAGGCCTTGTAGAAGGAAGGAATGCAAGGACAACAGGCCTCTTGTGAGTCTGTTCTCTGAGACTTCTTAATTTGACCATTTACGTTGAATTTTCTATCAATCAGGCCTGCTCTTAGGGATTAGCTTCAAGGTACCTAACTCACTAGACACATGTGGGAAAGGGGTGTATTGGTTGCAGCATCATACATCTCCAACTTGTAGAGTCAAAACGGACATTAGAGATCACCTTGGCATTTTGATCAGCAGCTAGTAAATATACTCCTTCCTCAGTTCCTAGAGAATGATCTTGTTAAGGCCCTAAATCAAGGTGAATATAATAATAATCAATGTTGTAATACATAATCAATTTTATTATCAATGGTTAGCAGGCACCCATAGTTGCAATTTTCAAATATATCAATAAAGAGTTCAGTTATTCAGAGATGTGACTGATGCTTTTTGTAACTATATCCCTTTCTGGGACTGTATCTTAATCTAAAATGTTGGACTGCTTAAACATTTTTTTAGGGTATAAGTTCAAATAGCATACACAGTCATATTCTGTGGGGCATGTATAGCAAAAGGAACCAGAATTCTATCAATCAGATAAGAATATAAAAGCCTCTCTTAGCATTAATATGTTTTATACATCCAGAGAAGAGAAAATCAACTCACTTACACATCCAGAGAAAAGAAAATCAACTTTCACCTACAAAAAGCTTAAGGGTAAAGATAACTAAGATTATTAAGTGTATGTCCTTGTGATATGACATATGTTCGTAAGGCTTTTTTTTTTCTTAAATTATAATCAGCCCTATAGAATCTTGTTCTATAAAACATGATCCATCCTAAAAACTTGTTCCCTTCTTTGAAAATAAAGCTTGAATTGAGGTTGGTATTTTACCCTCACATTTACCTGGCGGGCATTTTCTTTCTTTGTGGCAACAGTTGGGTAATGGACCACAGGCAGTGCATTAAAAAGGGCTTGGCCCAGGTGTCTGTTTACAAATGGGCCAGGCTAAAGGAGGCAAATTTGAAAAGTTCCTTGACCGTCACAGTGGGAAAGTTCAATAAGGTAGGAAGAAAGGTAGACCCTGGAATTAGGAAAAAGGGCTGATTTTTAATGTCACGCTAATCTTGCCAGTTATTTGTATCATAGAAGACAGGTAAGGGGAGGTTTCAGGGCAGCCAAGCATTTGCACCTTCTGAATCTTTAGTGTCAGCTGAGAGCAGCCAAAGTGGGGTGGGGGGGAGTGTTGAGAGCAGAGTGGAGAAGGTTTACAGCAGCAACACAATACTTTGGACTTAAGAGAAGGAGCCAGATATTTATAATGTGGGTGACGTTATAATATATGGGTCTCCTCTCGGAAGGAAGAGCCTGACTGAAAGAGAAAAAGAGGCCAAAAGGCAGCAGGACCAACAAGAAGGAAGAAAGCCCCTGCTGTGAACTCTCTGAGGAGTTAATCATTGTTCTCTGGAGCCTCCTCTGAATCTCCCGTCACAGGATCTAAGCGTTGTGTTATGGATTTTTCAACTCGAGAAGAGAGGCTTTGATGCCTGGAGACTGAGAACTCGCCTGCTCACAGGGCAACATGTAGTCAGCAGGATAATTTTATTTTCAGCGTGCATGGTAGAGTTGCAATGCCATTTTACAGCGGGAAACACATTTGTTCTTAAATAATTTAATGCAACATAATGTTGGGAATTCAGTTTCATTTAAAACAGAGATCTCTTGGAAGATGGGAAAGTGAGAGAATTTCTTCTCTTTTTTTTTTTTAATAGGTTTTCTTTAAGCATGTTAAAATTCAATTATATATGCGGATATTTCTCTGTCTACACACACACACAAGACGAGTTTATAATCCTTTTGTGAATATGATCATATCCTCCTTTATTCATGTCTCAACCTTCTGTGCAGGTTAATTTTTCAGAAGGAGGACCAGGCTCTAATTCCACTGGCAGTGAAGTGGCGTCGATGTCCTCTCAGCTCCCAGATACACCTAACAGCATGGTAGCCAGTCCAATTGAGGCATGAGGAACATTCATTCAGACGTATTTTTTTTCCCTGTTGGAGAAAGTGGGAAATTATAATGTTGAACTCCGAAACAAAAGTATTTAACGACCCAGTCAATGAAAACTGAATCGAGAAATGAATGCTCCATGAAATGCACGAAGTCTGTTTTAATGACAAGGTGATATGGTAGCAACACTGTGAAGACAATCATGGGATTTTACTAGAATTAAAACAGCAAACAAAACCCAAACCCAACATAACGCTATCCAATGACCTTAGGAGTACTGAAAGAAAAAAAAAAAGACGTTTTTGAAACGTAGAGGATTTATATTCAAGGATCTCAAAAAAAGCATTTTCATTTCACTGCACATCTAGAGAAAAGCAGAAATAGAGATTTTCTAGTCCATCTTATTCTGAATGGTGCTGTTTCTATATTGGTCATTGCCTTGCCAAACAGGAGCTCCAGCAAATGAGCAGGAAGAGAAACTGGCCTCTTTGGCTGAAAGAGTCCTTTCAAGAAGGTGGAGCTGCTTGGTTTGCGATGTTTTTAGTTGACTTTAACAAGGGGTTAATTGAAATCTTGGGTCTCTAGCATGTCCTGTAGCTGATTTCTTTTTTCCTTTTGCTCCCCCCCCCCTTTTTTTTGAGATCCATCCTCTATCAAGAAGTCTGAAGCGACTTTAAAGGTTTTTGAATTCAGATTTAAAAACCAACTTATAAAGCATTGCAACAAGGTTACCTCTATTTTGCCACAAGCGTCTCGGGATTGTGTTTGACTTGTGTCGTCCAAGAACTTTTCCCCCAAAGATGTGTATAGTTATTGGTTAAAATGACTGTTTTCTCTCTCTGGAAATAAAGAGGAAAAAAAGGAAACTTTTTTTTTTGTTTGCTCTTGCATTGCAAAAATTATAAAGTAATTTATTATTTATTGTCGGAAGACTTGCCACTTTTCATGTCATTTGACATTATTTTTTGTTTGCTGAAGTAAAAAAACGATAAAGGTTGTACCGTGGTCTTTGAATTATATGTCTAATTCTATTTGTTTTGTCTTTTTTTTTCTTAAATATTATGTGAAATGAAAGCGCCATATGTAGAATTATATCTTCAGGACTATTTCACCAATAAATGTTTGGCATAGATAAATAAATAAATGCAATGATCCAGGGTCCCTCTTTTATATGTTTACAAGTTAAGTCATTAAAATGTCTGAAATTAAGGACTGCATGTGAATGGGGTAAACAGACATACAATAGGTGTGATATTTTATTGCAAATAGTTAAGGTGGAGCTTGCAAATTTGCATTTCAATAGTTGGGGAAAACTGGTCGTAAGCTTATAACTCACAGCTGCGGTAATGTTATTGGCTTTTTGAAAATATCCTCAGTCCTGTTCCCCACCTTTCTTTCCTCTTTTCTAGCCCTACCCTCCATCGTACCCATGCCACCCCACCCAAAATAGGAAGAAGGTCCTGCTTAAAAAGGATTTTGATCCAGTCACTATTTTTATCTTAGAGTGCTTTCTACCAAAGTCGCCTGCTTAGGATTATTGAAATGACCCATATTTCAAGTATAAGCTCTCGCTAAAAGAGAGGCTTTCTGCCTAGCCAGTGAAGTACGACCATTATTTACCAGTGGCGGCTGTCAGCCGATAGAGAAATGCTGCTTTATTTGCGCAGAAGACCAGGCCAAGAGAGGGGAGTTTTCTCACCAATTCCCAGACGAGCCAGCGTGGGTCTTTCCTTGCCTCTCCCTCCCACCGCCGCCTCCAACTTGTTTCCTACCCGCCCCCTCCCTTCCTTTCTTTCTCCCCCAACTCCGATCCCCCAAACCTTAGGAGGGTGATGGGCTAGGGTGGAGAAGAGCTGCGGGGGCTCGGTCGGGAGCCGCCTTTAAAGGACAGGGGTCCGCGTCGCGTGCTCCGCCGCCCCGTCGGCGGTCTGGGTTTCCTGGACGTGCGCGCTCACACCTTTCTCGCTGGCTTTGAGCCGGAGCTCCTGTGCTAGAGGCTGAACCCAGGGACAGAGAAATGGCCCTGCTCGAAATCAGCAGGCTTCTCTGTTCGTTTGCGGGTAAAGAGCTAGGATTTGGGGCTCTACCCCATCCCCTCTGCTCCCCACCCCCCCCCCACCATGATACCCTGGCTCTTTAGAAACGGGATGCATTTGTATGCGCGAGTGTAATGCCTTTTTAAACATCTGACAACTCGTAATAAACACGAAAGCTAACGTACCCTCGTCGTGTGTCTCGTGGCGTGCGCCCCTGCGGACCCTTGGCGAGTCGGGCAGAGGCCGGGCTGGAGACGGAAGAAGCCCGCGGCTCCCCACCTCTCAAGTCTCTTTCACCCGCTCCAAACCTGCCGCAAGTCGGGAAACGAGCTTCAATTAGGCTTTTGTTTGGCCTCGTTCTACATAACGGGTTAATTACAGGCTCTAACGTGGGGGCAGAGAGAAAACAAACTTTGCATTGAAAATGCTACAGTGCATTAGACATGCCCGTTGATTACTTTGATTGTTGTGTCTAATTCTTGACAGAGGGGTAATAATTTGGCCGGCAGTAATAATGGCTTGTAGTCATCTGTTGAGAAAAACAGGAGTTATGTCTTATCTCACAGGGATCGAGAAAGGCTTCCCCCTCTTCTTTTTTTTTTTCTTTTCTTTCCTCTCTCACTCCTCTCCTCTCTTGCACCAAACTGGACTTCTTCAGCTTCCCATTCACTGTTTCTATTCACCTGTCTTTTCGATTTTCCTTTTTCCTCGCCGTCATACCTGGGATATGTGCAAGGATGGCAGGTACAACATGAATACTGGCGTCAGGAGCCCAAAGTTATCCATTGCCGAGGTCCTGGTTTGAAAACTATTAAGTCCTCTTCCCCAGGCATAGCCTTTAGTAGACACTTGAAAACCTTAGGGCTTAGAGAAGGGGGGAATTAGGATTTGCAGTGGAGGTACTTAAGTGAGGCACACATCTTTGTGCTAGATTTTCATACTGACATTTATTTCTAAGATTAGTGTGTGGGGTAGGGGGTAAGGGGAGATAACTATTGTATCTCCTGTGTAGATATCTGTCTATTCTGAAGTCCACAGCTCGAATTTAAGTACTGTAATTTGGGAGGGAAGTGTTGAATGATTTTGTTTCACTTGCTAGATTCAAGGTATTTGCTGCCTGTTGGCTAAGGATGGATTGACTGGTCGATAGCATTCCAGTTCTTGTATTATTCATATGAAAGGTGTGTTCCCTTCTAGACTCCTCAGCATGTTCTCTAAACGTGTAGCTGAGATGTCTTCTTGTTTGCAAACCATCTTCAGCACATCCTCTCCTTTTCCCTGCACACCTCTGGAGAGCAAGTTTTGAGTGGTTCTCTTCTAATGAAATCCCTCCTGTTTGCCATTATCTTTGATCCTCCCTCCCCTTATTACTCTGAATTCTTCCTTCTGGACAAGATGACTCATTTCCCCCAGCTTCTGCAGGCTAAAATTGAATGCAACCAAAAAACACCCAGGACACTCTCCTTAAATCAGGGAATCCATATCAACATCTATACTCAAAACAACTGGATTTTTTTCTCCCTATTGTTTCAGAGCAATAACATCCTGTATTACAGTTTACTATATCTGTCTTTCCCTTTCATCAAATGGACCTGGGTTTTCTTTTAGAAAAAAAAAACACTCTCTAAGTTAGAATCCTTTTTGAAGAGATTTTTTTTTTCTAGGTTGAAATAACATTTTGAGTTATTTGAGATTCTGTGTGGGTGTGTGTACCCATTTCCCAATTCACAGCTTTTTTGGAATTCAAGATTTTGTGATGGTCTGCTGCTTTTCACTCTGATCAACTTGTTAAACTCATCTATTGACTTCCTTTCTGGTCTGTCTTTTGACTAAAAGAGACAATGTGCTTTTTAAGGTACCTCAAAGTACTTGATATTTTTCTAGCACCTTGAATTTTTAACCCTTAAAATCAGTCTCATTGAAATATCTTAAAAGTCCCATGTGGATTTTCCCTTTTCCTTTTTCTTAAAAAAGAGGGGGGAGGGGAGTAAAAACTAGTTGCAAACCACCAGAAGAGCTAAGTTTGAATGAAACCCAGCCAGTTTGGGTCTAATCTCACCCCTAATACAAGTAAACTATCTGAGCAGAAAGTGCTTATTTTCTTATCTGTAAAGTTCAGTTTAGTCCACTTTTGTAAAGGAGATTTATAATCCAAATTATGCTTGGGTTCTATTCATTAAGGACTATTTACTTCCTCGCTGCTAATCAAACAATAAAAGATTTTGTCACAACATGGCAAGTCAAATTTTCTTTGTGGGCACTGGGAGAAAGGGAGAGAGGATTTTTTTTTTTTTACTTTTTTGTCTTTAAAGTGTTACTTTCAAAAATGACTCCAAATCCTGAATTCTCATTAACTATTTAAAATAAAAGCAATTAACTTGTACGGTGTGAGTTGGTGTTTTTAAAGTAAAATGCAAGTAGTTAATTCAGAGCGCTGGCAGCCGATTCTGTTTACTGATCTTTCCTGATTGTTGTTTTCTTGATAACCGAGCAAGCCACTGAATGGCTGTTTGAGCCCAGGCGCCACAAACGTAAACTTCACAGCTTACGATGTCCCAAGTCGTGATGGAGGATCTCTCCACACCTCCCGGAGACTTCTGAAGTGTGGACAGAGAAGTTGGTTCTCGGGGAGCGAAGGAGGGGGAGGGGCGGGAGGGCAGGCTGCTGAGTGTGCTGGGAGCGTTGTTACTATCACATCCTTTAATTTTTATGGCGCTTAAGCTGTTGGCTCCGCGAAGCCAGTCTCTGTGCCTTGGAGAAGCCAGGCTCTCCCAGGAACCGCACTTAAAGGCTACTTGATTCTTTTAATTTTTTACAATTTATTTTGCAAGTCTTTCTGCATAATTATGCCTCTGCAAAAGCGCTCAGCAATGATAAGCAAAGCGTTCTAAAAAGAAAACCATTTTCCCCCAAAAGAGGATGCCTATGATTTGGGGGGGTGGGGCATGGGGGTAGGGGGATTGTGGGGTAAGATTGCT